GTCATCTCTGTAATTCATTTCAGAATATACATGTCTGTATCTACCCTGTAGTATTTATATTTAGCACAGAATGTAACATAGCTGGATGGCAGACTTAAAATGCCTGAACATGTTGTCAGTTTAAACTTTGTTATTGCAAATACACTCCCTGCAGAACACCATAAAGCCAGTCCAGTCCAGAGCTCCTGCCTTTCATCATCACGCTTGTCTGCCTTCCTCTCTTCACTGATAGATGTATGCTAAATATGCTGACAAGAAGCACTATCTCTAAATTCATCATGGTATTTAGGTGGTAGAGCGATTGTCCTCTAATCGTATTGTTGGTGGTTCGATTCCCCTGCCCTCCACAGTTGGAGTGTCCTTGGGCAAGACACTGAACTCGAAGTTGCCAATGGCAGGCTGGCGCCTTGCATGGCAGCTCTGTCCCCACTGGTGTATGCGTGTGTGTGTGAATGGGTGAATGAGAAAACATTGTAAAGCGCTTTGAGTGCTGCTAAGGTAGAAATGCACTATGTAAGTGCAGTCCATTTACTAATTATATCACAGTTAGCCACATTGTTTGTCAAGGAAGTACTTGTTAGAAAAAAATCTATTCTGGAAAAAATTTTATGGCAGTGGAAGAAGAAAGTAAAATCCTTCACATTTGGGTTTGTCAGCCTCCATATATCTAGTAGTCCTGCATCTCTGTTCAACATATGTAAGGCCTCTCTCTTCTTAGACATGAGAGAGGGTCTGAATGAACTCCTATTCAATACTGGATCCATAACTTCATTAAAGTCCCCAGCTAGAACTATTTCAACCTCAGTGTCTCCTAGTATTTTACTTACCTCGTGGAAAAAAATGGGGTCTCCCTTATTAGGTGCATATATATGTTGCATAAATACAAGAGGCACTGCCTCAACACAAACAATCCTTCCCTCTTTAGCTTGTTTTAACAAAATAAAACTTATGTTCTTGTGAACCAAAATCACGACACCATTACATTTGCTTGAGAATAAGCCATGGAATATATGTCCCATCCATCCCACTTTAAATTTCTCTGCCTCCAAACCTTGCATGTGGGTTTCCTATATTCCTATATTCAAAAATAAGAAAAGTCTTCAAAGGCCACGTCAAAGTCTGCATGTGTTAAGCAGAAACCCTGACTTGGCCTTGACAAAGCTGAGTATTTTTCCTCACACCTAACACACTGTGAGAAACTAGTTAGCTTTTTGTTTCCAAATATCATTTAAAGATACCCTTTGGAGTTCTTGAATACAAACAAAAATGTTAAAACTCAGTGTGACTCAAAGTCATCGTGTACATCTTCTCTGGGGGCCAACAAATATACTTAAAGCACCCCCTTCTTTGTAAATGTGTAGGTCATGCAATAAATCTTTATCATACTGCAGAAATATCCTGACTGCTTTCATCCAGCTTTGACTCGTCTTGTTTTTTGGCTATACCAAGCTTGTTACAGATCAAGGCAGAGGCTCAAGTGCAGGACAACAAAAACACAGCAGAAAGAACTTAGTTCAAGGACAAACCAGGACTTAGTATAACCAAGCTAAGAAAGCTGAGAATAGGACGAAGATAACTACATGCACACGGCGCGGCAACACAATATAATATACAGAATGGCGAAACTACACAGAGCAAACTAGCAATCACTCGACAGTAAGCACAAGCACAATAAGCTACCGTGTACCCAAGAGAAAGAGAAACTAACTCGGCTGCAAACCAGGCGGAGGAGAATGGGAGAGGGAATGCAGACAGAGGAGGCATGAGGCATGGCAGGAATGGTGTCCCAGCAGGCATGGGGGAAATCCAGAGTGAACCAGGTTGGATATGGCAAGACAGGAGCTGAGGTATCAGCGCATGGCAGACGGAGTTGGCAGGGAGGGTCACAGAACTGTGGTGAAGGAGAACATGGTTAATGCAGAGCCAAACAAAAGCAAATATAAACAGAGCAGAAGCCAGGGTTGACTAACTGGTTGCTGTACAGCGGTCCAGCGTTGTGTAGTGGTCTGAGCCAGGCTTTTATCGTCCAGGTGTGACGAGTTGCTGGTCAAGCACTCCCAACTGCAGGTGTGCTCATTTAGGTAATCATCCAATCGGCTGCACCTGCATGCATGTCACACACACACACACACACACACACACACACACGAGGGAAAAGGGCAAGGAGGGAGAAGGAAAGGAAAGGGAAGGCTACAGCTAAGCAGAGGTAGAAGTGGACAAAGCTACTTTTCCCATCACTGCATGTCATGTCATGAGAACTATTTTTTTTTTATCAACCTGTAAAATCAAGGCCTTGATGTTATAGTTGACATTCAATTAGTAGCAGGAAAACAAGGTCAGATCTTCCTGTGAAGACACCACCTGGCTCCCTGTCTCTCACACACACACACACACCCACACACACACAGGTGAGGAAGAGTTACAGTGTGACGCTTCATAAGGCTCAGCTTGGAGCTGAGTTGTTATGTTTGGAGGTGAGGATAGTGTTCTTCAGCAAGATCCATCAGAGACATTCCAATAACATACAGTCCAATTCTTCAGTTCTACCTGACTGATGGGGAGTTTCAGATGTTCATGGTCACTCCAGCTCACATAGCTATGTGGTTTTGAAGCTGCCAGTTTACACAACAAGGCTATTGATCTGCCATGTCAGGAGTGACTCAAGATGTTATTGTGGGTGAAACTTTCTGGGGAGTGACCTTATTACTGCATTATAAGTGCTTGATAAGTTGCGGCCTAGACCTCCTGTCCTGTTTAGAGATGGCTGTTCAAGTTGAATATAAATGGCTTCCTTTAGTTCTCTGTCAAACCATCTGTCCTCTCTGTTCAGAATGTACATTGCTGTCCTCAAACGATTGTCCCTCATCTTCAGGTGCAGGTAGACTGTTGAGTCTTGTCCTGATGAGCTGCTCTCCTGTGTTGAGCCATGCGCTTGTGAAGCTGTTGTTTAGTCTCCCCTGTGTACAAATCTGTGCCCGCTGTGCTGCATTAGACTGCATATACAACATCACTCAGCTTGAGGTGGATCTGTTTTTGTCTCAGTATTTCTGTTTTTTTCTGGTACAATAACATAAAAGCTAGCCAGAAGGGGGAAAAAGGGAAAAAATAAAGAGGAAAAACTGAATTATTATCTGTGTAAATAGCTAACGAGCTGACTTTATGTTAAGTTAATAACATATTACTATGTTAGCCTACTGTAGCACGAGCTAGCGAGTGGGAATTCTTTAGTACTGTAGACTAAGCAACAATATTAATTCATGATTTGACATTATTCTTACCTCAGGAATGTCAGCAACATCAACAATAACAAAGCTATAATAGAGTTGTGATTTTTGTGCTAGGCCTACAGACTTGAAATAATTTGGCAACAATCAAACTATTTTTTACAAAATCCAAAGGATTTCTGTACGTGTTATATTCCATTTATGTTACAGCTAAAATGAGAGTAACATCAACATTTTAAAATAAAGTTAAAGTAATGCAGTAGTAACAACTTTATATTCACCAAAATTACTTTTGAACATTTTGGTCAATATAATCTGAGTTTTTTTCCCCACCAGTTTAGGACAAATCTTACATTGTGGGGAGGAAGATGCCCCTTTCAATATTTTACAATTAGTTGTATAAGAATACAGTGATGTCCTTTAAGATTATTTGCCCTCCAGATGTGTTTACTCAAACATACTTCTAATGGAAAGCAAACATTTCATGAGTTACAGGCTGGAGTTACAAATGTATTCATTTAATTGACTGTATCAGGAAGTGGTTTGGTGTTTTGGGCATGGTTAAAGTAGTGGCATTTATTACGGATTGTGGACATGTAATAATAGTTATTTTTTGCATTAATTTACAATAGTTTTTTTTCCTGCAGGCCCAGTTGAAATACAAGTAAGATTTCCACATTCAGCAAAACTGTCCTAAAAGTCACAAGCAGCTTCATTGAAAGAGAGAGTTTGGACATCTCTGTTTACTCCAAAGGACCATTTTTTGTCTCAAATAGCCCGCTGGCGCTGACTATTTCAGGGAACTATCTGAGGTCTCCATGCATCACGTGACTATATTTTGGACCTCCGCTGTCCTCTCTCTCCAGCCTCGCTGATCACAAGGGTCGTTTGAGATGAGTCAGGTCTGTGTAGATTACATCACCGGCGATCAACGTACAATGTATACTGGTTAGATTTCTGCCCGACTTGATCACGAATTGCTCTGACATTAGGCAACAATAACATGAAGTTTGGCTGCAGTTTCTTGGGCCAGAGGTATATCTTGATACATCCGGCTCTCACCAGATCGAACAGCTGATTGGGTTACTTGTTGACTCAACAATATCACTTTTGATTGAACCTTTTCGATTTAGTTGATTGCACAGACGTTTCAGGTCTGAATATCTGACAGATCAGACACAAAAACTCTCCTTTAATTCTTACTATTCCATTTGCTTTTTTATCTGTTTTCTCTTTGTTTACGTGGTTCGAGGGGTGCATGATTGGTCTCATGACTTATGTACAACTGATCTGATGCTGGTTTACATTTCAATTTATGTAAAAAGGAGATTGAACCATGAAAGGTATTACAGACTGTGTAGCAACTCATAAGTTCGTCGAAGAGCATTTTAATGAAACTGTCCCTTTTCATGTGGACTTTTAACTCCTGTTCCTTCCCTGCTCTCGTCCTCTTTGCAGCAGGCGGAGTTTACCTAGAACGAATCTGACGTCTGCAGACAGCGCAGCTCTGTGATTCGTCTGTGCTCTCCGAGTCTGCAACCTGATTGGCTGCCTGATCGAACGTGGCTGCAGCACAGCCGGGCACGTAAAGACCGAGAAAGGAGCCGACTGTACCTTCAATGTTAAAGCAGAAATAAACTTTTACATTGAATGTGATCGAGCGCTGCTGTAACATTGTAGAATAACATTTCCGGCGCACTGTGGATTACTTTCTACATGTAAGCTGCTCTATCAGTTTCTGTGGTATGCTCAAATATAGCAAGATATTAATCGATGTATATTTTACTTTGAACGTCACGAGCGGAACGTTGCAAGTCATATCCAGTGGTGAGTGAAAGCTGCCACTTGATGGGTCAGATCAGAGAGCTGAGCAGAGATAAGCATGTACATTCAAGTTGATGACAGCTCACCACTTTAGTCAGAACTACGCTGTCATTTGAGTCCGAACGACTCCACATCCGCTGCTCTCCTCTGCAGGTAAGTAAAGCTGTCTGCAGGCCGGTCACGTATTCCTTACTGCTGCCGGTTTGAACCGTACCCCGCTGCGAAATATGGGAATTTAATATATTTCCAGTGTTTTGACCAACCGTCACAGCGGCACTGACCTGATGAAACATATGACACAATTTGCCTTGACTCAGACTACTATTCGGCAGGGTTAGAGTACCCAGTTCATCAAGCTGCACAAATTTACATACAAGTTAGTTTAATTCCTGCTTGACTCACCTGCCATTTTCAAATGAAATGGGCTACTCAGTTTGGGGTTGCACGCAGTGATAAATACATGTAAAAAGTGACATTTTATGAAAATAGTGTGCCTTTTATTGGCCCACTAGTAGATAAAGTGGGAAAATGTCCCAAGTGACAACCAGATAGCCGTTTCCACAGGCGGTGGGGTCTCCAACCTGTCCGCATCCACAAACGTTTCCCTGAGGTGGCCAGGTGGGACACCTGAAAGTCTTAAGGTGGCACACAAAAACCAAAAGCCATGACTGAATTAGAGGAATGCTATTATGCTGTTGTACTATGAAGGCAAGTTGAAAACTATGTCAGCACGAGACTTAAGCAATCACACACCTTGTTTCCTTGTTTTACAGTTAATGGTGTAAGGGCGACATCATTCAGATTAGCCTAGAAGAAAAGTGTTGGTGGAGTATTTGAGGAGAAAAAGTTCAACTACAGACAGTATATACTTTAAGATTCCAACACCAATAATTCTGGCCGTGTGTGATGTGATCATTTATCTAACTACAGCCACTCACGAGTCATTAAAATGGATTTTCATCCTTGCTCGGCCACCTGTTGCCATATTTTGGTATTTGCTTTATTGATTTGAGAAGTCATGCTCTATAACACCTGTATACACACAGTAATGCCACTGATGCAAATATACTGCTGTCAATGGAAGAAAAAACTGGGGAAAAAATGCTTGATACAACAGAAAAAACATTTTGACTTTATGGGAAGTACACAGTGTCATTTGCCATTAGATCCTGGCACTAAGTCTGATTATTCTAATTCAGGGGTGTCCAATCCTGGTCCTCAAGGGCCACAATCCTGCATGTTTTAGATGTTTCCCTCCTCCAACACACCTGATTCAAACGATCAGGATCGTTATCAGGCGTCTGCAGAGCTTGATGATGAGCTGATCATTTGAATCAGGTATGTTGGAAGAGGGAAACATCTAAAACATGCAGGATTGTGGCCCTCGAGGACCAGGATTGGACTCCCCTGTTGTAATTGAAGTTACAGCTGTTGTGTGTAGATGTTAGCAGCTGTCTCTTTAGAGACACTCGGCTCCTGCCACTGTCTGAAGCCATTCAATAAACTCAGAGAAAAGACTTGTAAAACGGTTGAACTTCAACTCCAAACCTAGATTACATTTGTTATTGTTGGGTCTCATTAACCTGACCTGTTTGCACAGTCTGTCTTCTTCCCACTAAATTTGTCTTTTAACAGACATTTGTAGTTCATAGAAAGCCAATGAGCCAAGTGAATGTACGCAAACCTAAGAAACAGAGTTGAGTGAATAAAATGTGTGTGATAATGTTTATGTAGCAATAATAACTAGGAGATCTGTTCTTTTAATTTCTCCATTTCTCCCATCTTCAATACCAATTGATCAGTTGAAGCCATTTTTGTACCCAACCTTATTGGGAAAGACAAAATTTCTGTCACACAGACTTTCACAAACTCACAGGTACTGACAGATGCCGAAGATGTTACAATAGCCAAAGTAGGAAGTTGAAACCAGAAATAACGTCATTTTTGACCTCCAAATGGTAAATGCACAGTTGAAAAAAACAAAACAATATGGCTGTAAAACAAAAATATTCATACTTTAGCTTTATGTTGGTTTGAAATTTGTCCATTTATTCAAATACAAAGACAACTGTACAAAGCACATATTGAAAACAATATCCATATGAAGTGTTAACTTTAGCCTGATGTGGTACTTCTGGTGGTTTTTGAGCAAAGCGAATGATGTTCAGAAAGTATTGCACTGCTGAACTCATTAAATACAGAGGCTGTACCCCCCATTTTGTAAAATTATGTAAAATGCAGAAGCTGGGGTCGAGAAACCTTACCCGAGTTACCAAGTAGGAAATGTGACTTCTGGTGACGTTTTCTTTGTGAGCTCTGACTGTAAGCCATTGATGCTCACAGATGTGTTTGTCACAGTGGCCCTTTGCTAGCTAAACCCCCACAATGTTCTCTCCTTGCCAACACTGCCCATAATCAGCCTCTTTGCGTCAGTACAGTATTAAACACAAACAAGCCACAATCTTCCATCTCTATAAACAGTAAGAGGCTTCACCTGGTGGTGCAACTAGGTACTACAGCTAATGCAAGTATATTTTCTGACATGCAAGATCTTCATCTTCTGCCTTATAGGTGAATATATTTTTAATCACTTAAATTATTAGCGGCAATTCATTGATTCACTATTAATCACTGACATCCATATTGAGGAATTCCAAGTTCCCAGTTGCTTAACCATAGCATAACAAATAGACAGCATTTCAACTTCTCTGTATCGGGCAATGCACTAATGCATTGGTTTAGGGGTAGGGGGTTTATATATTCTCTTTTATTAAGATGACATAATGTTCAAAGAATTACAAACCTATCTCTGTTGTTCTATTGCTCTTTTTTCATTGATCCCATTGAAGTGTCATTGTTTAAGTTTCTTCTCTGTACATAAACCCTAAAAGTTTATACATTCAAGGGCCTCATTGTATCTCTTCATGTGCGATGTCAAAACTATTAATGAAAGAAAAACATACCAGTTGACAGTTGGCTCTTTGGAAATGTATTCACATAGACATGTTAGAAATCAGTAATCTACATAAAATGTCAACTGATTCAACACTGTGTCACCTCAGTAATAGCATTACCTTTAATTTGACCAGTAGATATTCACGTTTTTTCTTTTGTAGAAACTCTTTTGTGATTTTAAAGTGCATTTTGGATCTTTGCCATGCTGGAATGTTGCTCTTCAAGCTTCTGTAGACTGGGAGTCATCTTGTCCATCAGCATTTTGGTTTATCCACAGGCATTCATGGTGCATTCGCCTTTTGCACTGATACAGCTCCATATCATCACATTCCCACCTCTGTGCTTCTGAACTGAACACATTTATCAATGTGTCAACTGAACAAAGAATGTGCTTCCAACATTCATCATTTTTTTTCTTTTCTTTTCTTTTCTTTTTTTTTTTTTTTAACGAAGTTTAAACTTGTAGTTGTCTACTGAACAGCAAGCAAGGGTGTTTTTCTTGGATGTCTTCCATAGAGGTTGACATTATGGACTGTCCTTCACACTGTCTGAGCTGTCACACGAAACACAGACCTCAACGTCCTTGTGCCATGTCTGAAGCATTAGCTGGTCTGTGTTGAACTTAGTTTCTTCTTTGTATTTATAAGGAAGTCTTTCTGAAGTGTCTGTTTTGGATTGTTTATAAGAGGAAATATTCTACTTGTCTATTTAGAAGAAATGCAATCACTGAGTGGTGACACAATTTTGAGTCATTAAACATTTAAAGGCAACTGCACAGGGGTGTCCTTACTTCTGTTGTTTCCTGTAAATACTAGTTGTGTGTGGAAAATCTAAAGAAATCAGCCAAGATATCAGGAAGAGAATTGTGGACCTCCACAAGTCTCGTTAATCCTTGGGTATGTCCAGAAGCCGGAAGGTTCCATGTTCATCTGTTCAAACGATTATACCCAAGTATAAGCACCATGGGAATGTCCAGCCATCATACCGCTCGGGTTCTGTGTCCCAGAGATGAAGCGTTTTGGTGTGAAATGTATCAACCCCATAACAAAAGCAAAACACCTTGTGAAGACACTGGCTGAAGCTGATAAGAGAGTCATTATTCACAGTGAAGTGAGTCCTGTACCAACATGGGCTGAAAGGCTGCTCAGAGAGGAAGAAGACATTAGTCCAAAAGCAACATAAAAAAGCCAGAATACAGTTTGCAAATGCACACAGAGACAAAGAGCTTCATTTTTGGAGACATGTCCTGTGGTGGGCTGCAAGCTGGTAGCACTGTTGTCTTGCAGCAAGAAGGTCGCCGGTTCGCGTTGAGTTTGCATGTTCTCTCCGTGCAGCGTGGGTTCTCTCCAGGTTCTCCAGCTTCCTCCCACAAAAACATGTTGAGGTTAATTGGTGATTCTAAATTGTCTGTCGGTGTGAATGTGAGTGTGTTTGGTTGTCTGTCTCTAAGTGTAGCCCTGTGATAGACTGGTTACCTGTCCAGGGTGTCCCCTGCCTTCGCCCTGAGTCAGCTGGGATAGGCTCCAGCCCCCCCGCGACCCTAGTGAGGATTAAGCAGTGTATAGGAGATGGATGGATGGATGGATGTCCTGTGGTCTGATGAAGCTAAAATTGAACTGTTTGGCCATAATGACCATCATTACATCAAGGAAAAAAGGAGGAAACTTGCAAGCCTGAGAAAACCATCCCAACTGTGAAGTATGGAGGTGGCAGCATCATGTTGTGGGGTGACTGGTACACCAAGCATAGTCATGATTGGTCAGATGCCGATAATGCCTCGCATTTTATGTGCAAGCACTCGTACAAAGTTCAGACAAACCTTGGTTGACTTAGCGAGTTACCGTCATGTGACCAGTTATCCTGAGTGCAGTTGTTAGGGTTTGTCAAGCCGGATCTTTGAAAGATATCGTAGGTATGTTGATCTTGCTTTGTCGTACAGACCCCAGTTCTGTCAGGAGGAATGGGCCAGAATTCTACCAAACTATTGTGAGAAGCTTGTGGAAGGAAACCCAAAATGTTTGACCCAAGTCATATAGTTTAAAGGCAGTGCTACAGAATACCAAGGAAATGTATGTAAACTTCTGGCGTTAAAGAAAGTAATAAAAAAAATTCTCTCTCTCATTTTTCTGGCATTTCGCAAATAGAAATAATTTTGGTAATCCTACCTGACCTAAAACAGGAAAAGTTTAGTCTGATTTGATGTCAGATAGTGAGGGGGAAAAAAGGTTAAGTGTCTTTTTGTACAGTGTATGTAAACTCTGATTTCAAGTGTACACAAAGTTTTTCAAGGTACTTGGCAGGTAGGTTCTTCAGCATCTTGGAGAACCTGCCACAGATCTTTAAGTTTAGATTCCTGAGAATAAGCTTCTGTCTAATCAGAATGTCAGTGTAATTGTCTGTCTCTCCTGTTAGGTATTCAATATGGCCTCATGGATTATTCAGATGACTATGATGGTGCTATCTGTCTTCATCAGCGGCAGTCAGGGGAAAAGGAACAAGATGCTCTACTGTTCTGGTAGGTCACAGAGCTCTCACTAAAGCTTTTCATTTGATGAATTATTGCTGGTGCTGTTGTTGCAATAAAGAAACAATTGAATTACAATGTCATCCGTTGCATACTAACAAAAGTACAAAAGTATCCAGCCTAACCATGTTACTGAGCAGAGAAAAAGAGAGCTGAACCTGGCAAACAGAACTGTTGGGAAGTAGAAACTGAGAGACACTGTTTGTAGTTCTTTGCAGATATTTACAGTTTTCTAGGGGGAAAAAAACAAAACAAGCAAACAGAAAAACATCATTGAACTTTAAAATCTGCAAACCTGCAGACTTTTCATGGTGTGTATTAAAAGCCTTATACAGTAGTGGTTGGGGGCATGCCACATGGATGAAAATGGCCTCAGCAGCTGACTGCATGTCACTCCACTCCTCTCTTTCTCCACAATTTCAGTCTGTCTCTACAGTAGAATATGGTGTCAGAGACTTAGTGTCATCTGATAATGTGTTGTACACATTCCCCTTGCTGGTCATCAAATGTCTGCAGCCTTTTGTATGACTCATCAAGTCCTATATTTACTTTAGTAAATTGTTAACTGTCTTTTTCAGCATGCAAGGCAATTGCAGATGAGTTAAATTACTCAATCAGTCTGGTGGACCCAAAGAAAACCATAAATGTCGGCAGCTTTAGACTCAACCCAGACGGGACCATGAAAGACAAAAAGGTACAGTACACATACACTCATTTAGATGCTATTGCCTAGAGACTTTGAAAACTGCCTAAACTCGGACATTCATGGAACCACACTACGTGAATACTTTAGAATGAAAAATAGATGATATGTGTATGGCTTACTTAATTTGAGTCCACATGAGCTCGCATGTGTAATAATGCTTCTCCACAGCTCCGCTATGCAGCACAGATTTTGAATATTGTGTTTTTATCATCTGTTTTTAGTGCGTTTTCCAGTGTTATAGAAGTATAAAACTGAACTATTGACATTCCCTCTCTGTAGTTTGATCAGTTGCAAGGTTCAATGGCATTTTCCCATGTTACTGCATAATATTCTTTCATACTACGTGATTTCCGTTAAATGATTGCTTGTAATATGAATGTTTCTCGTCAAAGTTAGTGTTTGATTTTCTTGCACACACAGGAGTTGAAAATAATACAACACATAAATACTGTAAAACCTGACAAAGATGCAGTGATTCGCTGTGGTCAGTGACATGAGGGTCTCACTGCAGGCCTTTTGCTTTAAGAGTAGATTCATCAATAGTGTTGCTGTGACTGTGTGCCTGGCCCTGTATGAACACAGTGAGAATATGGATCAAGGTTATTGTTCAGGGGCTAATGAGGTCATGTCCCACTGGAACCTGGACATCTTCTATTGTCCAGGGACCAGGCTATCATGAGGTGTCCAGTTCTGCCATTGATTTCTTGGGCTTTAATCCCTGTTTAGCAACTGACAACTGCACTGATTGGTGTGTGCAACTATGACAACAGGGCTGTGGTTAAAAGCAAGTGGTTAAATGCAATATCAATATCTATATTTTAAGCCGTTTGATTAGAAGCTATATTTCAATTTATTTGTCATCTGCAAAATGAATGGATGTACAAAATGGACGTATAAAATGACACAATGCGACATAAATTGGGTGCACACTTCTATGGAAGCCCAGCATTCGTGTTAAATGATGTTTTAAAAAATAAGCTAATCTGACTGGTATATGGACTTATCAATCATACTTATCGTTAAGCTAACCAGCCTGGGCGTCCCTATAGCTCACCTAGTTGAGTGGGCAACCAATGAACAGGGGCTATAGTTCCCTGATGCAGCGGTCGTGGGTTTGACTCCCGATCACGACCCTTTACTGCAGGTCTCTCCCCATTCTTCTCCCCCCTTTCCTGTCTATCTCCACTGCACTAAATAAAGCCAAAAAGCCCCAAAAATATATTTTAAAAAAGGCTAACCAGCCTGCTGCTCAAGCTCCCAAGTACACCAAACAACAAAGAACATGTGAAGCCTGCTTTCATGTAGTCAACAGAAGTTGACTAGTTGTGTATTTCCTCTTACAAACAACTGAAAACAAATTCTTAAGAAAGACTACATTGAAAAGTAGAAACTTAAAGCAACAGAAGTGAACATACCTGTGATCACTGACAGAAACGTTGGAAACCCTGTGATCTACAAGCCTGTTAAACATGCAGCCTGAGCCAACAGTGAAACCAGACCTTTCTTTAGCTATCTAGCTCAGCCCCAATTTGTGCATTAAATCTTTCATGTTTCCCTCTTGACATATATTGGAGTAGAAGATACATGAAACTGAAATACTTAAGTAACAAAGTACCAGAAGGACAGCTCAGGATGAGCAATGTGGACATAATGTGCAGCATTAGTACAGCACCCCTTTACCAAACAGAGCCATATGTTTTAGTAGAACTAAAAGTTTCATTTACACTGGTGATTCTTCCAGGGAGTACCCCTCTGCCCCTCCTCTACAAAGTCCTAAAGGAAACTAGTGGAACAATTGTGGAACCAAACATACAGCAATGAGTATTACTGAACATAAGAACTTAACTGCAGCCTCTCTAAAGTCGCCATAGCCATACTGTTCTTTAAGACATGCATGGCCCGTGTTTGTGCAATTTGGAAATTCAAACCTTCTTGATTTATAAAAAAAACAAAAAAAAAAACAAAACATAAAACAACATAAAAAAAAATATTTCCTGAACAGCCTGATTTATTTATCTGATGGTGCAAAATTTCTTTTGAAAACTTTGTGCTTGACTTGACCCAGGATTAGTTTCTCTGCTGAAAACAGTTTGGGATTGTTATCATTCTTCTCACCCGGCCAGGATAGTGTGGTTCCTCCAGAGATGAGCTCCTCCTCTGCCCTTAGCTGACACTAACCTCCACCTGTTGCTTTGTTTGGTCAATCAAATGTTACTGAGCCACAGAAGAAGCCAAACCTTGATCCCATGCCCTCCCGGCTCCCTCCTTTTCAGCAGCTTCTGACCTAGTGTGAATCGAAGAGGGAGGGATGTCACAGCTTAGATGCCATCAGTGAGGAGGATTTGCAGGTTTTAAGTCTCTGCTCTTTGGCCTCCTCACAGTAGGACTTCCTGGGGGCATGGGGCTGTTCTATGATACAAAAGTTAAACCTGCCTGCGGCAACAATGACACATTTAAGGCCTCCAAAGACATTGAACTTAGTTGGAGTGGTGAGTTGATCTCATAGTGACCGGTGGGAAGTCATGCATTGAGAATGAGAGGATGCACAATGGCATGCTCAAACAGTGACACATAATATCATGGCCCAGAAATGTGACTGAGTGAGGAGACATGCAGTCCTTTTTGTAACCCAGAGGTTTTGTATTTTTTCTCTCTCTGGGTTCTTAAAGGAATAGTTAACCATCCCAAGAAATGGACTTTTTGCCTACTGTTTGAGTATGACATAAGAAGCTTGATGTCTTTGTGTGAAGTGCAGAATCAAAATATATTTAGCCTTGCCTAATATAAAGACAGACAGACATGGGGAAATGATTCAGTTGCCAGCGTGCTTCTTTAGTATGCAGACTCAAGCGTAGCTATAAAAAGGTCAGATTTTAAGGTAAGGAATGTCCTGGAATTGTTGCTCAGTGGGAAGCCCATGAAGGAACCTGTCCTCATAACTGTGGTTTCAAAAAATCACTTTGATAACAAGACTTAAAGAAATTGCACGCTGTTGTTCATCAGGAAAAAAGTTGTGAAAAAAATATAAACAGGTGTTTGTAACTCTGTTTGTGATCACATTAAAAAACAAGATACAAATTGTTGATCAGTGATCTTTAGAGGGGGTGGTAAATGCATACACCAGAAGTTGTAGAGAGGATCACATTTCAGATCCTGATGCCCAGCAACTGTGGTTGACCGCCCCATTGGCCTCCCACCGAAAAAATAGTTCCTGATTGTGACTTTTCTGAAACTTAAATTTTCCTTTTTGATGAAGCCAGCCTTGCAGATTATCCCTCCTTCAAGTCTTGCTAAGATAAGCTGACTGTATCCTGTTTCCAGATTGATCTAGAGAGCCACGATACCACGGTTCCAAGTATTTTTGTGTGGGTTCACTTCTATATTTTAAAATCTGCACCTAATATAACACCTGGTATTCATGGACTTGTCTCGTCTCTCTAAGAGTGACGTTTGTCCACAAACATCTAGTGCTTATGGAAAATATTGTTCTTCAGAAGAGTAAAAACCTAAATTTTGAATCAATAACAAAGTTGGATGGTTTTTCAAAAATCATTAGCATAATATAAAAAGGTAATAACTTTGTGAATTAGTTTATTCTTTCTGTCTTGCTCTACAGGACCTCTCATAAAAAAAAAACAAAAAAAAACTCACTCATGAAAAAGTATTTTTTCAAACATTTTTCCAAATGCCTGCTTTTATACACTTTACCAGGCTTCACCTGTTCTCTAATTTCTTCCAAACTGCGAACATTGAGGCTATCATTTATTGGCATTCTATGGTTGCACCTGGATACATCCATAATTGCCAGCTAATTAAAACATTGGGCCTGACCTTTCAAACTGTGACAATATTTATACTGACTAATTCAGGACTGTCACAGCACCATCATCAAGACACAATACACCCAGGCCTTTGCCTGTGTGGCTGACAACCGTCAGGGAGGAGGTACAGGCCAATCAGATCATGAACAAACAAACTAAGAAACAAATCTATCCATAGAGCGCTCTGGACTGAGCACGCCTCCCTTCTGTCCAGATCTCCTACAAAATCATGAAACACCTGAAAGGACTTGTATTTTTACTGCGTACAATCTCCCTCCACTTTTACTACCCGCACACACACTTTGCCACTTGGATCACTGCATAAATTACTTTTATTCAGTTATTGTAATCCATAAATGATGTCACTTTTATATCTAGCAAACATGCAGCTCTTTCGCTTCCCTACACTTTGTGTGCTTTTTAAAAAAAAATTTTTACCCAGCAGATTGATCTGTTTTACCACCGTGCTATTCTTGATGTCGTCATAAAGTACAATAACAATAAAGCTCTCTAATCTGTAATATGATTTCTAATCATGGACATTCTTATTCACTAATCTGTGTTTACAGTGGCATAAAAGTCAGGATGGCATTTTAGCTTCTCCTACTGTTCATCACTTTGCTGACATTATTATTATTATTGTTATTATTATTATTGTCATTGTTGTTGTTATGAATTTATGGGTCTTTATCGGCCTATATCACCACAGGACAATGAAATTGAAAGGCTTCTGTCCACAGTGGGACAATAATGGCTCCCTGTCCAATGGGAATTGAATGGAGGATAGCATCCCTGAGTAGCCTATTCTCTGGCCCAACCGGTAGCACCCCCCCAC